TGGCACTTAACTCAACATGTACAGTTGTACAAACGAAAAAAGATCGACAATTGTTGGAATTCAGAACGAAGAAATGATGGTCTTGGTCAACACAACATTGAACATGCTGCTGCCACTGAGTGGCTGGTAGGGGATAGGGTTTGGCAAACTAGATACACGAATTACCACAGAGGTCAACCAATGTTACGAGATGCGGGATTTTAACTAGATTTTTAAACTCGACCCTCCCGGGTTGTTAATACAATCATTAGAATAAAAAAGGTTTTTAGGAGAACGTATAATAAGAATCGGGTCAGAAAAAGCACTTAATTTTTATAACGGTATTATAGCAGTCAAATCACAGGTACCAGTACAATAAAATAAAATAATAATCAAGAGTGCTTGCGGTTCCTATAAGACAATTGGAAGATACTTCATCTTTCGAAATAGAAATCACCTTTTGAACTTTTATGCTAGTGCTATCCCTACCCAAACACTCCCCTCATTATTTATATTTCCAAACGTACGTTGGTTACCCTATACAATTATATATACACATGAATTAAATTTTTATTAAGTCTGTTTTCATTCGAACTATTGACTTGAAAATTTACTACACCCAATTAATCAATACAGATATTCAAGTAATTGACAGTTTACTGAAGAATTGATGCATGTGAGATGAATATAAAATTTAATGATGATTATTATGACATTACATTTAATTTATAGAAAAACTAAATGTGATAATTTAATGTGAATTACCTATTATGTCGAAGTAAATTATTCATTGACTGGTCGGAAATCGATGCAAATAGAATGTACTAAGCAATAAAGAAAAAAATAAAATTCGTAATGAATTATTATGTTTTGTAGTCACGCCATACACTGGCTGCATTTTATGTGACCTTGAGTAGAGTGTAAATATGTTATGATCAGCAGGATAAAATTAAAAGCAAAATTCAATTAAAATATATATATGTTTTTTTTTTATAATCCTAAATGCTGAGGAAAGTTTCCATGCATCATTTAGACAGAATTACGACCTCTAGATCACAGATGCATGTCTATAGTGTTTAACGCCACTGTCAGCACTATTGGCTATTTCCTGGTGGTCAGTTCTTATTTGAGGAGGAATTCAGAGACTCAGAGAACCATCGACCTTCAGCAGGAAAACTGTCAATCCTAGTCAATTATGATCGGACTCGAACACACCCGAGTTCGGCTAGCGATACAGTTGTGGAACTACTTAGACCACTTGGCAACCGAGGCCTCTCTCTACTTTTTTTTCAAATAAACTATATATCAACAACGTATTCATACAGATACAGAAAGTATAGTATACATGTCACGAGTAATACAAAATGTTGATTTTTAGTTTTTTAGTAACTATACAAATACGAATAGTTTGATTGATTGATTGCTTGTTGGTTACTTAACGTCCAGTGGCAATTATTCATGCATGTTCAGAACAAGAACAAATTAACAATAAATGCAATAGGTCAATGTAAGAGAGGACGTCCAGGATGAAGGTCGGGGAAATTTGGACTGCCACGAATTAATGCGGGTATATTGGATAGGGAAAGAAATTTAGCCTTGCAACAGGCCACCTACGGACCCCCAAAGAGTTGTTGCAAGACACTCTCTTTACACGAGGCATCGGATTTAACGTCCCCAATTCCCATTCTGACCGGACGTGGCTGCGAACTTGTACATCTTGCACAGCCAAACGTACGCCCCACTATAGCGAGGGTTTTACTGCCGGTCGGAGGTAGACCAATGGTGACCATATTTCTATTCATCAATCACCCTTGGGTGGAAATACGAATAGAACCAAAGCACCTATTCTCCAGATCTCAAATCATCTCAATTTGTTGTGAACTTGCAGATGCTGGTTGTTGGTGGTTGACGTGGCTGTTGTTATATCGTGATTAATCTATTTATTTTTTTTAATTTAAATTATGTCGTTTTTTTTTTTGTATTGTGGAAGCTAAGAAACCATTGTACAAAACAATGTATTCAATCAATTGGATGCCAGGATATAATGGCTTGATCTTTTCTGTAATGTAGGCATCTCATTCAATTGACAATTATCTTCTTGCCAACTTTGACAGTTTATATTTTTGTATCAAATATTAATTTCAGAAGACTATTTTCATACGCCCGTTTACGGGACGTATTATGGTATACCGTTATCCGTCCGTCTGTCCTCTGTCCTCTGTCTGTCCGTCGTCAATATGTCGGACAATAACTCAAAAACGCTTTAACCAAACTGCATGAAACTTTGGTGAATTGTTTATATTTATTGACGTGAGCTTCCTTTCGTTTTTTTTTATAATTTTAGATTTTTAGTTACCGAGTTATGGGGTTAGATTCATTAAAAAAGGGAGATTTTCCAGTTTTCGGACAATAACTCAAAAACACTTTCACCAATTTGCAAGAAACTTTGGTGAATTGTTTATATCTATTGACATGAGCTCCTTTTCGATTTGTATAAATTTTAGATTTTAAGTTTACGAGTTATTAGGCTTTATTCATTAAATAAAGAGGAATTTTCCAGTATTCGGACAATAACTCAAAAATGCTTTCAGCAGTTTTCATGAAACTTTGGTGAATTGTTTATATTTATTGACGTGAGCTTCCTTTCGTTTTTTTTTATAATTTTAGATTTTTAGTTACCGAGTTATGGGGTTAGATTCATTAAAAAAGGGAGATTTTCCAGTTTTCGGACAATAACTCAAAAACACTTTCACCAATTTGCAAGAAACTTTGGTGAATTGTTTATATCTATTGACGTAAGCTCCCTTTCGATTTTTATAAATTTTAGATTTTACGTTTCCGAGTTATGGGATTTTATTCATAAAAAGGGGGTGATTTTCCAGTTTTCGGACAATATCTTTAAAGTGCTCTGAGCAGTTTTCATTGGTGACTGGTGTATATCTACACCGGTTATATCTACCTTTAGTTGTTCATAAATTTCTGATATGACATTGCGAAGTTATTGAACTTTATTCTTTGAAAAAGCGACGGGCGTATCATACGCTAATGGCGCAGCTGTTTGTTTATTTCTGTTATTCTTTTCATATACTCTTTGAAAGTCTTTGTTAAATCATAGATGTAAAAAACTATACATCTATGGTTAAATGTATGCACAACTTTTAGACGCGATGTGATTTAGAGATTGTTGTTACCGAATGCATAATTCTTGAAGACCGTAAACAATAAATATCTTTGTATTATTAGTTTTTTTTTTTTGTTTTTTTTTTGGGGGGGGGTGCTTTCCCATTGACACTTCTCATTTATTCACGTCTATGCTTTCTTTTATTTAAACTTTGGTGTAGGAATTGATTTCTTTAAATGTGAAGATATGACATAGATGGGTTTATGCATCTATGATATGACCATGTTCGAATAAATAATCTATGGAACAGTTTCATTAGCAGATTTCACAAACTTCGAAGGGAACTTTCTATGGGAGTTTTAACACGAAGAAACAGTCAGCACCAGCGTTATTTATTTTTTAAAGTTTTTTTCTTTTATTTTTAATCTACCCAGAAAAGGGAAAAGTTCCAGACCCCTCATTCCTTCTCATACATCCGCCAAGGAGATGAATAGTCATAATATTTACAATCTCACTTCAACAAGTAATATATGTATATAAATGTGCAGATAAATTTTCAATAGTCTATAAATCAGATTTAAAGTTCACTCAGCAAATATCTAATAAGTATTTCTCTATAAATCTATAGGATAAAAAGTTTATTTAGTATAATGTAGTTTATATCATTCGCAGATAGGCGAGGGGATATGAACAAAAGAAAGAAAGACATTCAATTGATTGTTCTAGTCATTGTATTCTGGCACCAAATTACTTATTTACACCTGGATACATTGCTTTCTATGGTCGCTCAGCTTCCACAACAACTGAAATACGATATCAATTAAATTAAAGAAAACTTATAGATTATTCACGATAACAATCACCCTAAGCTTGAATACACCGCGTTAAAATATACCATTTAAAGTTTACTGTCTGATTGCATACTGTAAATTCATTGTTTTTTGGGGGTAACAATTTTCTTGGATTGGAGAAAATTGTTGCTTGTCGATTAATGATTTTAAAAAAATGCTTCATACAAGCCTATAGAAAACTTTTATATTTATGAACAATTAAATTTGTCACCCCGGGGTAAACATTACTCATAAATTCCCCTATATTTCAGCTTAATTGAAATAGAAGCAGGACACCTTGATACTTAAATTTACAAAATTAGGGAAAATTAGCATACATAATTTAAATCCACAGTATCAGCACTTGTGAAACATTTTGCCACACTTTTCCATGGTATTTAACATATCAAAAATGTCTGTACCTGTATTTATCCTACAATAAGGCAACTGTTTTAAAATTTCGGGTAAACAAATAAAATTTTGCCTTATTTTGTATTGTCCCCATGTTAACTGCTTTCATTTAAGTTAACCTGAAGATAATGTTAAAGTTATGGTGATGTATACATCAGACAACAAACGTTCAATGATATTTTCAAATAGAGTGTAATAATTCTCTATTGAATCGTGGTCTCAATACTATAGATTTCTATTGTTTCGTTGTCCTCAATCAATAGTGCTCCCCTTTAACATACGATTTTATTAGAAAACTCTTATTGATTTTTCTCTCTCTGCATCAAATTTTCAATATTTAAATTTACTATCGAATTTATATATATTGTTTACCATTTAGGACCAAATTCTGATGTAATGTTTTATACAAACAGGGTTTATATAGATTATGTCAATACATATATTCAAAAAATGTCCATAACTAAACAATATTATCCATCAAATGTTTAATTTGCAAAGTTTCCATTTTACATTTAATTTATTAGCTTTATAAATTCCCTTGAAGTGAGAGATTAATAGCATAAAGCCCAAGTTCATTTACATTTGTATAGAGAATGCAGATATAAATTTCCCCATGTTTTCACACTTGGCAGTTGCGTTTGTATATACCATATAAATTGTTTAATGTTTGCTTACGTATTGTTGCTTCTATCGACAGTTGATAGACTATTGTAAAAGAAACTAAGCAAAGGTAGAGAGTGATTGGCGAATTAAAACTTTCATTCTTATTTGCTTGGATGCATCAGGAAAACTTATACTTTTACTCTGCAAAAATGCTTTGAACTTGAAGCTATTTTTTAAAGGTTATGATATTGCAATATGTTACATGTGGGAAAAATGTTTTGAAGTTTGGTCGAGAATTTGAATAAATTTAAGGATTTTATCGCATTAAGAATTAACAAAAATGAAGCAAAAGAACAGAGTTTTGAATATCAGTCCTGAACTGAAATTCAGGAAGATTCGTAGAGTTTGTGAGAACCAGATGGAACATAATTTACATTCGATTGACAAGAAATGCAATATTCAAAAGGATAAGTTGGACAATTCTATCAAGTTAGTAAAGAAGCAATTGGAAAATTTGGAATTTGAAAACAATAGGATCGGTGTAGCTCTTCCTAGGATAACTTCCAGTTCAATGTACGGTAGATTATCAGTGACTCCAGAATCACGACAGAGTATACGAAGAAGTGTTTCTTGTGTTTATGGAGTACTTAGAGATAGACAGTGTCCACACTTCCCCTGTACTGCTCCTGATTCTTACCATACGATAGGATTTAGACTGGAACCTGAAGATACAACATGGGTTTCTTGGAAAAAGAAGAAAAAGGAACTAAGTGACGTAGTTAGGTTGTCTATGGAAAATTCCACGTTGCTTAATTCTGGAACTTCTCGTCTTCGAACTGAAAGACGAGAAGAAATTCTGAAACAGGAAATGAAAAGGCGTCGAATTGAACAACAAAAACAGAAACCTCCTCTATGGGAAACAAACTATGGAAAACCTACGCCTATCAGACGCATAAAATATCCTGTTAGATTATTACCATTAGACGAGAGTTTATGATGGAATATTTCTTAGTTCTTGAAATAAATCGGTAAACAAAATCTTCATTTTTTTGTCTTGTTATAATTTTTACAAACTAATCCTCATTTTATTCGAACTTTCGCAATATACTTTCAAACTGTAGGTTACAATCTTTATGAATAAATTTTGTTGTTATAAGGATTATTTTATTCTATAGAGTGGTGATTTGATATTATGGTAATCTGACAAAACCGACACTCGAAAATACACGGATAGTTTTAGTCTTTGTCCGAAATACCAGACTCGATAATTGAAAAACAAAAATATGATTAGGACTTTTATTACTACTTTAAGACTATTATGTCAAAAAGAAGGATTTAACTTTTTTAGTTTTACAAATATTAAAAACGTAAACACATTGATATACTCCGTTTTATTCAATTCCGAATGGTGGATTTATTCTTAGGAAATAAATCTTTATATTTGTGAAAATCTTGAGTCAAATGTTGACCAATTTATGACATATTTGTCTCTGCTAAAAAGGTAAATAATGAAAATATAAAGAACGGTTCTTTGAAATCTGAGACGTGACTGCAAATAATCGTATGTTGAAACAATTATATAAGATATTCTCATTAAAACAGAGCCACCTGTACATCACCATCTGGAAAACGAAAATATACACACAAAAATTACTAAACTGCAATTTTAAAATCACTACATCTAGATATACTTCAATTTGAAAAGGCTTATGAAAGAATCTCCTTTTCCATATATTTTTTCAATAACACATATAATCTAAGGTAGATGATTTTTATAGTATTTTATTCTAACAAAGAACTAGAGAAAGGCCTGAGATGCGCATACTCTTAGGTCGGTTCTTGGTGTCATTTGTCTTTATTTTAGCTGTGTTTCTTGCCATTATGATAGGTCCAACTAATTATACCAGTGTGTTTTTATGTTTGCTGTTACACCATTATCCAAGGTTAGGGGTTGTTGAGCGCTCAAAATCATATTTAACTCCGCCTTGTTTTCTATGTGTCTGTGTCAAACCAGAAGCTTGTTATTAAATGGTCGTTGTTGGTTGTTATCTGTTATAAATCAGAACGTTGTTTGTTTTTTCTTTTGAACTGTTTCACATTTTGTTCACATTTTGTCATGTTGGGGCCTTTTTAGCTGACTATACGGTATGGGTTTTGCCTATTGTTTAAGGCTAAAAGTGACATATAGGTGCTTACATTCACGTCATTTTGACTTTTGTGGATAGTTCTCTCATTGGCAACCATATTTCCTTATATTTAGATGAAAAGACTCTTCATTAAACAAATATCAGCAAAATGAAATGTAAATTTCAGTTATAAATATGACACAATATTAAAAGATCACCAAAGTACTCGCACACGAGGCCATGTTACTTTGGAGGTCAATAGACATTCAAGGACGTGGAACATGTCAATACTTTGTTTTAACATATAAATTGAGAAATCAAAATTTGAGAGAAATAATTTTTTTTTTTATTAAATTGTGTGAGCTGATAAACCTGGGAAAAAGGAAGAAGAAAAAAAACAAAAAATTGAGCCTTCAAACAAGACGAGAGAGCTGGTATAGTTGATTTGAAATAGATTGTGGTTTTGTCTCGTCTGGGAATGCGAGCGAGAAATACGGATGCTTATCCGGCGCCTACGATAGCATTTTGTATAAAACTTTATATTTCAGAAACCAAAAGGCTTGACTGGAGTATAGAAATATTTTAATTCTCTCGTCCTGCCCTTAAATCCGCCGTAAAGTCCGTTAAGCTTTGTGGGATGTATAAAAACGCAGCCACGCCAGGTCGATATCGAGGCATTAAATCCGATGCCTCGAGTTGGATTAATGCCACACACTTTGCACGTTTAAGAACACTTGCAATTCTTAACAGATACAGAGTTTGCCTGTTGCAAGAAACGTTCAACTGCAGGTTTAAATTTATCGCCGTCCATCCCGGTCAAACTACTTTGCAGAACCCACATATTGTAACTGTCTTGTCGTCCTGAATATGCATGTATGAGAAGGTCGGCAGACAAACCTTATACCATATACATGTAGACGGATATACGAGCAGACGTAGTTAGGATAAACGGACGAATTGACGGAAGCACAGACGAACTGATGTGGGGCAATTAATATAAAGAATATAGGTAATGTTCTTCAAATTTGTATTTATAACTCAATATGCTTATTTATAGAATTTACACAGATACCGCTGTTGTTGAATTATTGTGTTAGTTTTTAATGAACAAAATTCGCACAGTCTTTTATTTTCATCTGTTTTGAAATTATGTACGAATTTACATTGGACGCTGCATCGTGTCTTTAGGTAGTGCTTTTCAAAAAATTGCTGTATGAAATCTTCTTCGAAGTACAGTTGTCAATATTAAAGCCTGGTGACAGGATTACTATCTCAAGGTTAAGAAATAGTTTGCTTCTGTTGCTATGAACATTCGTTGATATCATTTAGTATTCATTTTCAAACCATCTGACGTACGTTCAAAAAAGAGTAATTAAAATCAAAGCATATGCTTATTCACTGATGAGTCTTTTGTAGACGAAACGCGCGTCTGGCGCAAATACAAAATTTCAATCCAGGTATCTATGATGAGTTTATTATTAAGTGATTAACTGTCGTTTGCTTGACGTCCAGTTGCAAATATTTCATACATATTCAGGACGAGTACAAGTTCACAATAAATCCGGCAGGAATTAATTACAAATGCCACCACAAAAATAGGGACAGAAATTTTGCTTTACAACAGGCCATCTACGAAACCAGCAAAGAGGTGCTGCAAGGTTTTTTTTAACATTCACAGAACATGGAGATCTTTATACAAGAGGCATCCGTGCAAACGTGGCTGCGTACTTATACATCCTGCAAAGCCACACCCCTCTCTTAAGCATTTGTTTACAAATATATGAAAATCCAGTGATTACCATATTTCTATACCATATTCAATATTATGGGTCTCATTTGCTTGGGGCTAATGAATACAAGAAAGAAAATAAAGACAAACAATAAAACAATCAAAGGGACATAATCAAAACTGATTTAGAATAGTATTTTAACTTATGCCTATACTAAATAAGAGACGTATATTCTAATACCAGTATGATTATATTGATTAAATTTAATTTATACTAAAATGTTAAACAGGAATTATGAATGGTGTTGTCACGAGAAATGTGGGCTACAACGTCACAGAGACTTGCCCTTTTTATCGTTATTATGAAAAATGCATTGATTTTGAGGATTTTCAAGTGTCCTGAAAATGCAAGAAATAGTATTGTCACTGGACGTTGAGCAAACAACAATTGTAAAGCATGTAATAAGCACATGCTTTTAATATTTCGTTTGATTTCCAGTGTTCCTCCTTTGCAAATGCAAGCTTAATCATTCACAACAGTGTCTGTCTATCTCACCAATATCTTACATGGTTCTTGCATATTTTCCCATTCACATTGTTTGTCAAAATTAAGTAAATTTGACAATTTGTAAGCAAGAAATTCAATTTGTTTCATTTGAATTTTTGAACTAAAAATCTAAGCAAATGTTCACAATGTATGAAATAGAACAGGAACCGCTTACTCTTCCTGATCACATGAGTTTACTCATGGCTTTCGGTTGTGTTCGCTTAACACAATCATTTGGATTGTGTTATGTATGTAGACTCTTTATTTTTGTGTTTCCGTCGTTTTTCTTTTGGCCATGCATAATGTAATCTTGGTTTTTCTTCGATTTATTGTATTGGTTGACCCCTAGGTATCATCTACTCCTTTTACAGTTATTATATTTATCAATATTTTAAACAGCAAATTCATAGGATCCGGTAATACTTCGATTTAAGGCCTAAAACAGATTTTCAAAGCAAAAACGCACACAAGAAAAGGAAAGAAAAAGTAAAACAAACAAGAATAATTACTTGTACTCATAATATTGAATATGAGCGATAAAAACATGATAAAGATTAAATATCAAGTCCACCTTTATTAAAAAACTGACCGTCTGCTTTATTGGTGTTGATGTTTGTTCATAATTACAATTTACAGTATTTGCACACTTAAGGTAATCTTATGAGTATATATCTACTTTTATTTATAATGTAATGCAAACTATGCCACATATGCTAGAATGAGGTATGCAAATTGTTAGTTTTTTTTTACACTTTTACTGGTTTTTTTTGCTTTTGTTTCTTTTCTAATAATCTTATTTTACTTTATTTAAAGCATTCTGGAGGTGGAATAAAGATATTTGGATCTGTGATTCCAACGTTGATATCATAGAATCTGAAATAAGTGCATTTATTCTATTAGACAAAATTTCAAGTTTGTGTGATTCATGTGATTTGATTTTGTAAATGTAAAACGATAAGTTATTAGTACATAATAGCAACTTGTCAATAAAGTCGCCGTATTGTAAATCAGTACAATCATGCAGTAAATGTAGTCTAAACGTGCTGCGATCCCTCTACCCTTATTGCTACTGGCCTTTTTATAAAACTAGTAAACACAAAAAGTGTGGATTTTGTGATGGATTCCATATGGAAAAAGATATGTTTTGTTTTGAATGAACAATCCCCTATCAAACATAGCTTTAAACAAGGTCAATGTCGTGATGATTTCAAGTGAAATGTGCAATTTTATAATTTTTCACTATCAAATTTAATTTCAATGTTAATTTAATGCTAACCATTTATATCGAAAATGTTTCAAAGTTACACTTTTTTTCATGATTAAACAATTCCTCACTGTTTTTGAAGTATAATCTAATCAATTGTTAGATGATGGAGGGTTGCCTCCCCTGACTCACTGTGAGACAAAATTATGTATGAATTAATGTTTATATGTAAAAACCAATTACTATTCTATCAATCTTGTATGGGGAAAGGATTTACATATGCTGAGCCAATCCATTTGTAAAAACATAATTGATTTAAACAACAAAATCTTTGAATTGAATTGATCAACCAATACGAACATTTAAAATATCATCACTAAGAACAGGATAAATAATCATGAAAGTATGTGTTCGAGTACACAATTTGAAAAGACATCATTTGTGTTCAACAAAATACTTACGACATGGTAACTAAACCGGTGTCGTTGCTAACGAAGTTGGTTTGAACAGGGTAACAGTCAGGTGATGTAACAAAACCAAAGTATCGTGCGCCTTCACGTTGCAAATAACCTGCAAAATTTTCTATGGTAATAAATTCTCCGGGTAGACCTGAGACCCCAAGAGTTGCAGATCCTTCAAACTCTGCATCTGGAGGTACTCCGAATGGTCGGAATGGTCTTGTCAGTTGTGTAACATTACATTGGCGCGTTTTAAAATTTAATCTGTATTCTTTTCCCTGTAAAAATAAATGCATTGTTTTTAAATTGTAAAATTATGACAAGTTTGTATATGTTTTAGATGAACTTATAAATAATACTGCCGGTTGCTCATTTTCCCCTTGATATCTTCGAGGGTCATCTTCAAGCAGTTATTGGGAATCATTCTCCAAAATTTTAGAAAAGCTTTCGATCCATACATATGAAATGTTACATAAAATACCTGTTTTTGAATATTGAAAATAGATTTATGAAATTCTATTTGTCATATTTGGCACAACTTTTGGGAAATTTTGGTGTTCAATACTCTTCAACTTCGTTCATGGATTGGCCTTCTTATTATTTTGATTCGAGCGCCACTGACGAGTCTTATGTAGACGAAAAGCGTGTCTGGCGTACCAATATATAAACTTGGTATCTTTGATAACTTGTTTTAACATCGATAAACTACCGTTGCAATGGTATATAAAAGAAGTAATACAACATCGTAGTATAGTCCCTGTCTCCACTCTTTACTTAAAGTGGTATGCATGAAGAAAAAGAACATATAAAGTGGTAGTCTCTGTCTTCACCTATTTAATTATAATTTTATGGAGGTATAGAACATCGTAGTAATCTCTGTCTTCACCAATTAGCTTACAATGTTATGTACGAAGAGAACATCGCAGTAGTCACTGTCTTCACCAATTTACTTACAATGTTATGGAGGTATAAAACATCGTAGTAGTCTCTGTCTTCGCCAATTTACTTACAATGTTATGGAGGTATAAAACATCGTAGTAGTCTCTGTCTTCGCCAATTTACTTACAATGTTATGGAGGTATAAAACATCGTAGTAGTCTCTGTCTTCGCCAATTTACTGACAATGTTATGGAGGTATAAAACATCGTAGTAATCTCTGTCTTCGCCAATTTACTTACAATGTTATGGAGGTATAAAATATTGCAGTAGTCCTTGTCTTCGCCAATTTACTTACAATGTTATGGAGGAATAAAACATCGTAGTGTAAATCTGTCTTCACCAATTTACTTACAATGTTATGAAGGTATAAAACATCGTAGTAGTCTTTGTCCTGACCAATTTCTATTTCTTCTATTATCCTCACTCTCTCGTTGGTTTCATCGTAGCTGACCTTTGATCTTTCTTCAAACATTTTTGACCTGTCATACTGTATCAAATTTAGAAAGACAGTTATTAAAATCAGCAGTTGAATTATTTTCTATTATACCTTAAACATAAATCGTAATTATTATAGGAAATCCCCCTTTTTTGCCAACCGCTTTGATTCGAGCAAAATTTTTGGTCTTATATAGATGAAACACTCGTCTGGCGTACTAAAGTATAAGCCTAGTATCGTTGGTGATTTTTTTTTAATAAATGTACCGATTGTGAAATTTTGACTGTGTGTGTGTTCGTATGGCGTATAATGTATGCACTGCAGGAAACGCTTACCCTGTCGACGCATCCGGTTCCATTCTTTTATCAGTTAATATGATTTCCTCAGTTTTTTTGTTTTTACCTTGATTTGTATGTTCTTAATGGATTTATAAGATTTGCACATCGTTAAAATTATATTGCCTATTATCTTATATTGTCTTTTCCGACAATATATTTTTTTTGTTCTCTAAAAGTAGGAGTGATATACCAGGCTGATGAACGGTTTTTAAAATTTCTATGGCTGTTGTTTCTATTACTTTTTATCTTTAGAATGTTTTTAAAGCTCTCTGAAACCAGATGGTCAGATAGGAAGTTTTACTTTTTTTTATGTATAAGAAGTTTGAGCAGGCGCAACACAAATGTGTTTAGTATTTTACTGGTCTACTTACCGCTACACGTCGACCTTCCCATTGTTTTGGGGATTCTGCAATGTGAGAAAACATTTAATAAACAGGCTGTTTTGTAGATAAGTGAAACTACATCAATTGCTATTTCTTACACTACAAATGGTACGATATAAAAAAAAAAGGTAATTCGAATGCTTTGTCAAACTTTTCACTTTTCAATGTTTTCCATATATTTACAACCTTATACATGTTATACGACATATGCTGAAAGTTCGGGGATTTCATGTGAACTATATTGAAACTGCTCAATATTTGGTCTTCATTGATATGTTTTGTGGATTTTCTTTTCTTTTCCATTCAGCAATGATGTTCTATGTCTTTGTTTATGTTATAAAAAACAGACAAAGCATTGACAATTTTCCTATTATTTATTTATTCATTTGAGACATACTGATAGTTAATTGGCATTTAAGGAAAACGTATTGCGTCACTTTACTCTTAACTGTTGTAAAGAAAAAACAAGCTCAAGGTCTTATGTACACCTATGTTTGGTTTTGGAATTAAAAGATCTATTCATACCATCATATATCGTTGAAAAAATTAAAAACATCAATGCCATCTGGTAAATTTTCTATCTATTAATTTCTGGTAAATGAATTAAATTAACTATAATTTGTAGGGTTATGATACCTTAAATGTTTAGTTAATAGGTTCTTGTAATTTTCATCGCGCTGACTTAGAAAGGGATGAATCCTAGTTGAGCTCATTGTGGTTCGGACCCCTCCCTGTAACCGACAGAATAGTCGTCGGATCTTTACCGATTGTGTCTTATTCGCGATTGTGATATTTTAACAGAGTCGGGACTACGTGGATTGCAAGAGACGCTTACCCTGTCGACGCTCCCGGTCTAGCTTTTTAGAGTTCATGCGATTCCCTCAGATTTGTTTGTTTTTACATTTGATTTGTATAATGGATTTATGAGATTTGAACATCGGTAACATACTGTTGCCTCTAATTTAATACATTTTTATTATTTTTGACTGCCTACTTTTGCAAATCATTAATACTTCACTATCAGTACTGCTAAGCACGTCAGTTGTGCCTCCTTTACTTAATCACCTTGCAGTGACTTCTATACATGTATTTGTAAGTGTTTGTTTTCATTCTCTGATTTAAGACCCAGTTTATTTCTAGTAATTACAATAAATGCAATAAAACTTACCACATGGTGGTGGTTCCTGGCCAAATACAACCACAAAACAGCAAATGGCAATGAAGACTTTCATGATGGATAGAGTTGACTCAAAACAGGTAAGGGAACTGAGAATTATGTATATATTTCAGGTCTTTCTTATCTGTACACCCTTGACTGATTTTCTACTTATCTGGGTAGAATCCAGAGCAAAATGATGGGTTACTTGTTTGCTTGGTGACAAAAACATTAAAACCCAAATTGAGAAATAATCTTATCGGACAAATTTGTTCTCCATATAAGTACCTGAGCGGTCAAAACACTGTGATACTCAAGAGATGTACTTAGAGATATGTTTTAAGTTCAATATTTGTGACATTAACTTTAGTACAAAAGAACTATTAAAATCAAGGTCAAATGTACACCAGTAAAAATGAGTTATTCTTCTTCTGTAGCAAGTCATGACTTGAAATTCTCTTGTTCTCTCCAAAGCCAGTGTGTTATAATACGTTGTGTAGGTTGTCATTAAATATGCCTTTCAAAATCCTCTCTTTTGGGGACTTTTCTCCCTTTTCAGCATAAATAAAGCATTAGATTTAATTATTTGATAAATTGCCAAATTAAGGCATTACAGCAAGATACGCTTTGCAGGTCTATCGACTATATCATATACTAGTATTACAGCAAGATACGCTTTGCAGGTCTATCGACTATATCATATACTAGTATTTAAAATATTTTTTAACGATTTCCAAAAACTCAAAATGCTATTCAGTGCTACAAGTTGCTGCCGAAGGCATTTTGATACAAATTTTAATTTTTTGTTGGTCAAATGCATCGAAGGACACTAACCAAAAACGAATTAATTTGTATACGAAAGACAATACATAGCTTTACTAGTACTTCAATTTAACTTTGGATTTGGTTAATGATGTCCTTCTTGTACATTTTTGAAATAAATACTCAAAATTAAGAAGAATATGTCAAAATTGTAGGCATTTATAATCTGATGATCTCTTTAAAAATATAGTCATATTTCATATGATAAGAACCCCAAAGTAGACACATCGGGCTGTGATACTGTAAGTAAAGATTGAAAGACTTTTTAAAAATAGACATGTTGTTAAAAATTTTAATGGGGAATTAGCCTTACATCTTTTTACAACCGAAATAAGAAAATAACAAACATATACAAATATGAATACTTTGAAAATCACTTGTACATGCATTTCAACAAAATAATTTCTACACGTTTCTTAGTCGTATGCTGCCAGTGTTATCTGTTTGTTTATTTCTAAAAACGAATTACAATTCATTTCGTTTTTAACGTATAAATCAATTAAATTCTAAACTGGGCTTATAGAAATGGTAGTAAGACTATATTTAATTGGAACTCCAAGTGTCAAATTGATACTTTTCCCCGTCGATTCATCTTCAGTTTTTAAAGTGTTCATAGCCTCCTTTGTTAACGTGATAGACAATGTTGATCTGGTAAACTGTATGTCCAAACTTCCTCCAAAATAATCGATGCCAATGACATTCATACCAGTGACGGTCAAAGGAAGCGCACCATTTACTGTCAATTTATCATCATATACCCTGAGTCCACCATATCCAAAGAGGACAGATTGAAGATAACCACCCATTCCAGTGATGAAATTGTGTGCACCAGGCCCTTGTGAATTTTCTGACCACGTCTTTAAAAAATAAAAAAGCAAGGATATAGATTTTGAAAATAAGTAAAAATATGATTTCAATATGTAAAATGATATAAAAGACAAGTTACCATGCAAAACGGGGTATCAAAATAACGATAAATATATAGAAACAGCCCATATGAAATAAACCACTGTTGTTCTGTTATTTCTGTAAATAAGTTTATCCTTCTTGCATGCGAAAATAAAATGTGTACATGGAATTAAAAAAAGTATATTTCTCAAAATAAATAACAAGGTAAATTGAAGGAAAGGCAAAAATAACGGCAAAATGAAATAAAAAAAATATGCAAAAACTATACAAGACACAAAAAATTTGCTAATTTGAAGAACAAAAAAGGGATGGAACGAATTCAGGTGTTCGGAAGAATAAGCACTTCTTACTCCATGATTTATCTTGTTGAAAGCCTGTACCTGTGATTACATTTTTGACCTTGATATTTTTTTCTTCCAAAACTGATCCCATATTTTTTTTTTTTTTTAATTTATTTCCTTTTTGACTGGTAGTTTTTTCTTCCAAAATTAGATCTACTTCTACTGATTAATCAGCCCTTGAACTATTTATACCTTCTTTGCTTCCACTATCGTTACACTTACATAGAATGGTTCTCTGACATTGTCAAATTGTCTAGCAAATAAGGTATTTGCCTTGTCTAACTGATTAAGTTCCAGCCATCCGATAGCAAACATACCCCAAGTCATTGCTGGTCCTCCAGGTGTAACCTTGACAGATAAAATTGTTTGTCTACTGAGTACACACACTATTATTTATGACATTATGATAATCTACTTCTTATAATAAAATGGTTGAGGATGAAAATATGTCAGTGAAAGGGCCTTTTTAATAAAATAAAACTTTACGTCTAAAATTTGAAAATAAAACATATCGAAGAACTATATAATTAAAAAGATACGCTGACAAGAACATTACTTATGAGTAAACTTGTGCAGTTTGTGCCTCCATTAATCAGAAGTACATATAGCATACAATGGCACTGCGGAAAGAAAACTGGTTAACCATTTAGTTCGCTACACCTCTATGTAATCACAGATGTTTGCTAAATACTTTCATATTTCATATCATTAAATCTAAAGATAATTAATTAATTTTGAAGTCAGTTCACTACCGGACTCTTTAGATGGTTGAAGATACAAATATGATAGCATTTTAAGGATAGGTTATTATCCCATTGTATTCTATTTTTGAAAATACTACTGAATTATGTATGTTTAAACTAAGAGGCCAGAAGTTACGTAATTAGAAATGCAAGTAATTAAGTTCACATTAAAGTTTATGTTTTTACCCTTTCGTATTGGAGAAGATCGTTCCTTCGTACTTCTTTTGATATATTCATCATTAAAGGGAAGCCAAGTAATATGACATCTGCTTGTTTCACAATTACATCTACAAATAACAACAATTAAAAATGCGAAGAAAAAGAAGAAGAAGAAGAATTACTATTCGCTATGATAAATGAAAATTAAAATAAATAAAAAAATCTTGAAATTTGATAAATTAGAAGTGTTGGAAAAGTGTATAGCTGGAAAGTTATGTGAAAACTAGCCATTTGATCAAGCATGCAAGAAATGGAGATATTGACATAAAAAAAGAAGAAAAAGGGACAATTGCTACGACTTAAAAATATTCTCAGCTTCAAAACGTTTGATTACCATACTACGCTTTACTATTTGATTACCTTACTAAACTTTTACTCAAAAAGGATACCTTCTGAATAACTGTCATATTCTGGGTGCCACTGTCCTGACTTGTTGAATGGTATGAACATATTGTCAGCAATATTTTGATAGCTTGTCATTGGTTGTGTAGATTGGATTTTGTATGGCGCCTCTAAACTGATTTTAGCAACATAGTTTGTGTATGCAGAATCATTAACAGGCCAGTGATACTCATCTGGTGGCATCACACCTAAAAAATAAGAACAAATGGGAAACTCGCGCAACAATTTCTTCATGCATAACTCATTAGTTTTCTGTTGACCAAACATTTGAGACTCCAAAAAAGATATTTCATGCACTTCTCGCATTATTTCGAAAAAAAATTATAGCGAAAGGAAATATTTAAAAAGGTGTGATTTTTCAACGAAGTTATACTAGTTGGATTCATTGTTTGAGAAAACATTTTTTTCACAGCAAATAATCTTGTCTTAGAGGGAAGGGGGGATAAATCTTACTGTGTAAAAAATCACTCTGATTCACCAAAAAACTCTGAAATTGACATAATCAAGATGCTTGATTTCTTGATTGACAACATATTTGTTACATTTGGAGGACGTGTTTTTTCAACAAACAATCGGCATTCCCATGGGAACAAACTGTGCCCCTCTTCTTGCCGCATTGTTCCTTTATTCATATGAGGCTGACTTCATACAGGAACTTCTTAGGAAGAAAGAAAAGAAGTTAGCAGTATCCTTTTAACTTTACTTTCCGCTATATAGATGATCTTCTCTCACTAAATAATTCAAAATTTGGTGACTATGTTGAACGCATCTATCCCATCGAACTTCAGATAAAGGATACAACAGATACAGTTAAGTCTGCCTCATATCTTGACTTACATCTATAAATTGACAATGAGGGTCTTCTACCTGACTTGCTTTTTTATTCACATAAGGCTGACTTCATACAGGAACTTCTCAGGAAGAATGAAAGAAGTTAGTAGTATCCTTTAACTTCACTTTCCGCTATAAAGATGATGTTCTCTCACTAAATAATTCAAAATTGGGTGACTATGTTGAACGCATCTATCCCATCGAACTTAAGATAAAGAATACAACAGATACAGTTAAGTCTGCCTCATATCTTGACTTACATCTATAAATTGACAATGAGGGTCGGTTGAAAACAAAACTTTACGACAAAAGACATGATTTCAGCTTTACAATTGTGAACTTTCATTTCTATGTAGCAACATTCCAGCAGCGCCTGCATACGGAGTATATGTCTCCCAGTTGAAACGATATTCCAGGGCTTGTATTTCCTATCATGATTTCCTTAACAGAGGGTTGCTGCTCACAAGGAAGCTATTAAACCAAGAGTTTCAAGTGGTAAAGTTGAAATCATCCATTCTTAAGTTTTACGGACGCCATTACGAGTTGGTTGACCGTTATGGAATGTCCGTTTCACAGATGATAGCGGATATGTTCCTAATATCGTAACTACAACCCCGTCCCCTTTTCCCGAATGTGACCTACCGAATTAGACTTATTACCGTGTGTGTACTAACATGAGCAACACGACGGTGCCACATTTGGAGCAGGATCTGCTTACCCTTCCGGAGCACCTGAGATCACCCCCAGTTTTTTGTGGGGTTCGTGTTGCTCGACTAGTCTTTAGTTTTCTATGTTGTGTTGTGTGTACTATTGTTTGTCTGTTAGTCTTTTTCTTTTTTAGCTATAACGTCCCTCTGGTATCTTTCGCCTCTCTTTTTCAAACTTTGTTTGAAATATTGAAACTTTCTATGTAAAAAAAAATGTGAGTTTCCTCTCAAAGATAAGAATATGAACTATATCAAAATGCAAATATGATAGTCGATTTATTTTGTTCAACTTATCGATGAACTTGGTTCAATTCATGCAATTCGAACTATTTTCATTCCCAAAACTATGTCAGAACGAACCGGTACAACATTTCAATTAACATGAATGTGCATATTACATTGTACTTTCATATTTCGAGGTAAATGGAAAATATTTAAATGCAATAATAGGTTATTTTTTAAAGTGAAGATTATTAATACTCGTGTCAAGTAGTGTCAAGTGGTATAAACTATCTCTTAAATTTGCCATTTGTTCCAATTAAATTTCATTTTTGGCTCCTTGAGTTTTAGATTTCGCATTCTATTGATTTAAATGTATATCTGATTCAATTCCATTTTCAGACAATATATCAACAATCCATAATAGTACCGTTTATATGATAGAGTCCAGTCTCTTTGTCTAGAGTTACTCGTGATGCCCAGAAATCAGCTATACTGCTTATGACTTCTGCACCTCTTCCTGCAGTCATAAAATCTGTATCATTTGTCATTGTCAGATAGAAATAGAAAGCCTGCGATATGTCTCCTGTAATATGATGTTCATAGTCTGCTGTTTCGGCTGATGGTGATGTCTCAAAACCTATAAAGAAATGCATTTTGGTTTAAAAAAAGATGTGTCCATTGTAATGGTGAATTGCATGCCATGTCTCAAAGAGTATGATTTTTAAACGGTCAAAATCTGAATCTGAAACGGATTATCTATCAATTAAAAAGATCATACAGAAAAATTTTAATGGAAATATAAGACAACATTGTAATGAATGGTTACAGAAGAATAACATACATGTCATTTTTTGTTTGATCTGCTCTTCAAGGCTTGTATTTTTGATTTTCAAATACTTTGTCCTCGAGCATCACTGAGGATCGATACATTATTGATTTCATGTTTAAGATTCTCCATTAATATGTAGGTAAGCTGAATAAAAACTGACAATGTTCTCTGAATTGTATAATTTACCTGTGTATGCACTTTCCCACGGATACATAGCACCTTTATATCCTTTTTGCTTCGCTAATTGTTTAGCAGAATCAAGAGTCCGAATTCTAGATTTCAACAACGTTTTACCGAAATCTGAGTGTAGTACTTGTATTGGAGGGTACATCCAAGTTTCTTGGTCCCAAAATACATGCCCTTGGTAATCCTTAAAATAGAATGTTGAAAGTCATTATTCGCTATCGTACAGCATTTTGTTTGAAAGACTTCAATTTAATTAATAAAACATATTCAACAAGGATACTTTGAGGCAATCTGACAGAACCCTATGCACGACTTCAAACTAGATTTCTTTTAAGAAAGTGAGAGGGAATAATGTTTTTCGTGCGTTTTTCATGATATTATGACCAGATTCTTTGATGCGTCATCGATAAAAATGCTCCATAATTATCAAACAAAACAATGCAAAATTGTATTCATTGCTTACAAATCATCTAGTACGTCTCGTTGTTAGTTTCACAAAAAAAACACGTTAGTACCAAAACTTATGAAATTGAAGTGACTTAGTTTCATGTAACATTAAGTTACCATTAAAAGTTGATTGTCTAATAACAGATCAGCACATGTTGTTCCATGCGTCTTCCTTTCTCAAAGTAAGATAAAAACGAGTTGCTATTCTCATAATTGTCAAACATGTGTTCGGTCCGATCTCACTTGGAGCATTTGAAAATCAATGGTTGCACATCTTGTATTCACCAAATCTTGTCTCAAAAAAAGTAGCAGGTCAATAACTAAATATGTTTATTGTGTTGTAACCTTAAAGTCTGATTAATTACTCCGTAACAAAATTAATATAGGAAGCTCAATGATATCTTGAACTAAAAATACTTGCATTATCTTGAACTTATAACAATTGCCTTATCTTAAACTAATAATACTTGCCTTATAATATGACCCATGGGCAAGATCTCCTGGTGAAAGGCCGACAAAGGACAAGTCACTATCATTAGTAATTGGGATAGAACTTATAATATAGTAGTATGCAGCATAAGTAACTTTGGCAGTCTCTGGGTCACCAATTATGTCTACTCTACCATTGGCCCAAATATTTCTCCAAGCTTTAATATGTTGGTCTTCCAGTACATCATGGAAGTATTCAGACACACCTGGAAATGTTTAAGGCAAAGGAAGTCAAAATGAAGAAGTGATCGGAAACCGTCTTTAACAGCGAGAAAAATGTAATAAATAAAATGAATAAATTTCAGAGAACAATATTAACGAGTAAGATATTAATTAACAGACAAATATTTACATAAATTTATATACCGTGTATAAAAGACCGTGAATCATTTACAGATCATCTCCGGTTTTAGTGGGGTTCGTGTCGCTTAGTCTTTAGTTTTTATGTTGTGTTGTGTATACTGTACACGTTGTTTGTCTTTTCGTCGTTTTTCGTTGTTTTTTCCCATGCATAGTCAGTTTATTTTCGACTTATGAGTTTGTATATCTCTTTGGTGTCTTCCGCCTCGCTTTAACAGAATAATGATGAAGACCAACTGAAATCGACACTACAAAAGTTTATTATTACCATAACGAATTGGTATACCGATAGGATATATATCTGTAACTTACTAGAAACATGTTTTAGTAGTCTAAGATATTTAGATACCAAGATAGCCGTCTCATTTGTAATTTTACCGAATGTGACACTGAGTAGTGATTCATATGGCGGGTGCTGCTAATACCATGAGACGCTTTCCCTGTTGACACACCCGGTCTCGCTCCTTTTGGAGTTCATGCGATTCCCTAAGTTTTTGTTTGTTACCTTGATTTGTTTTCTTTTATCGATTTATGAACTTTGAACTTTGGCAAGCTACTGTTGCCTTTATTCATACATTCAAGCACTTATTTACAAAAATTACCTTTATTGAACGCGTTCAGTGCTGAACCCTTTTCAGTGTCGATGGATGTCAAAAATAGATAAGAAGACTTTTGTCCTTTTTTGACAACAACCGTTCCATTTGGGGGTAGTTCTGTAGATATCATGTACATTTGCAACCCACCCACTGACCCATCTTCCAAAACTTTTGTTTTACCATAGGTGTGTCTAGAAAAGAAAATATCTTAAATTACAAAAACACGTAGTTCTATACATTATGTATCAGCACTTTACTTAAGGTCTTTGAGCTTCTTTTCGGTAGTTTAGCTTTTTATACAGTATTTTCTAAAATAGTTTTACTCTACAAAGATTTTGACATTTACGACGGATCTAGATTATTCTATAGATTATTGACAACTTTAGGTGGACATTGTATCTCATTGAGTAGTCAAGACATCCACATATATTTTGGTGAAGACCTTATGTTGACCTTACGTGTTTATCCCGTTATTTTTTTTTAAAGCTATTGGGTTACATTAACCTAAGGATTAGAACCACAGACAGTAAGTTGACATTTAAGTATTATGAGCAAACGAAGTTATATTGCAGGTAAACAAAACTAGTCAAATACATAAATAAATGGTTTTCAAAATGTACATTCAATGAAAACTGAATACATGTACCACGAAAGGATTAATGTAAAAATACCTGACACCACTCTCAATATGATTCCGCAAGGTAATGTCTTCAGAGTCATTGCCATAGTTCATCTCAAGGTCAACTTTGAAATCGCCAAGACAACAATTCTCAACTGTCATCTCTGTTACCATGAGCTGGTTTATAGATCTATGAGCATATTGTTTTATTTCAATGTTAAAACCTGGACCTGAACGAACTTCTATGAAGATTCCTATCAAAGAAGCAAAATTGTACTTGTAATATGTGCGTGTTTAAAGACAAAAAGAAATTGATTTTAGTCTCAGAGTGACGTTATGCATTGTTTATTACAGCGAGATAAACTAAAAGCTAGTTTATATAAGGGTCATTTTAGGTATAAACGGTATCTTTAAAAGAAGCACATATGAAGTAAAAAGAATAACTCCCCTACCAAACCTTTCTATACAGTCAACAGTATTTAAAAGGCGGCAACAATATTTAAATATAGCATAACGGCCTTGAAACAAGATAAAAATCCTCTTAAAAGTAAAGAAGGAATCCTGCAAGTTTTTCTTCAGTTTTTCTTGTCAAAAGATTATGGTCCATCTAAGAAACCTTTCACTTAAAGACATTTTCTGCCGTCAATGACTATAACAAGACTTCTTAAGGTTTTATCCGCTAATTATGAAGTTGTAACATGAGGTCCATATGCATACCGGTATAGCCTTTCATTTCCAATTTACAACGTTTACCTCTCTAATAATTTGTGAAAAAATATTAAAGAACGGTGATTATTTTTCTATGATACGCACCTTTTTCTATATCCAATGAGTAAGACGATTTTGTAATGCGGGTGGTAGTGGATACAACTTCAATCGCACATGTTGATGGTATCCTTGCTCGGTGACTAAATACACGTAACCCATTGTAGAGACCATTCATATAGATCGTATCTGTATAGACAACTGTGGCAATATGGCCGTTACCAAGTGTTGGTCGAGTTCTGTCATTCTCAGGAAATCTGTTCATAGATAAAATATTGAATTGGAGAAGTACCGATAAGACAATTTAAAAACCATGAGTCGAAGAGAAAAGGCATTACCATGGATACAAGTAAAAAGACGAAAAGACAAACAACAGTCCACAAAACCCTACACAGATAACTTGCTTTGTATTAGATCCATCTTTCACAATCGAGACGAGCACGCTACCACGATGATACTACTGTTATTAGAATTAATAATGAAAATTATAATGCAGAAATTATAAAAGGAAAAGTTTTATTTAGTCTTTAAACTACAAATATTACGCGAATTTTTGTTCATCCAAAAGAAAATTAGACGCAACAAAATATAAGTATAACCTTTATCAAAAAAAAAAAAAAAATAGAAGATGATTCCTAAACTTGCTCTTCATAAACAGTGTAACCATGGAAAACGTTGTGTGAATTTCTGCAAGGGGATCATACTTCCAAAATATATGTCTATGAGTAGTATGAAATAAAACTTACAAAGAAGTTGAAAACACGGTAAGGCTTTCATCCATCAACCGCCGAGGTTTAGTGAGATCTGTATATATGCTATGATGTTCATTAGCATGATTTAACCAGATCTTTTCATTAGGAACTGGAAACGTGGGTCTTTGTAAAATTCTCGTAGGAACTACTTTAGTTGTTCTAAAGCTGACGGCAACCCTACTGTGAAAGACTGCTATGGCAATTGTAGCGATGAGAATGAATATCACGCTCTCCTTAAACGAAAGAATACAAGAATAGAATATATAACACAAAAGTATGAGTATAAACAAAAGGAAAAGTATGTATTTTTTATGAAAAAAAGTATTTCCTCGATGTTTAAACTTAAAAAAAAAAACGTTTACTAGAATTTCTCTATGTTTATAGTTGAAGGTTTCCTTGTAACTCATTTCTTCCCATTTATTTCCTTGGGGATCACTGAGCTGTTTCAAATCTGACTTTTAGACCCTTTGGAAATTGACCACTGGTCTAATTTCTCATCTCCTGAAGTCATTAAATTTAATACATCTACACGTATGTCCGTCTCCAACATCATTCAGATCCCTTTTCACACCTGCTGCGAGATGAACTGTCGATTTATTCGAACAAATCTTGTTCCGGTTGGTTAACGGAGTGCCAATGTCCATGATCCTTGTTCTATCTACATAAAGTGTCGTCAAAAGGGCGTGGAGCTTAAGTTCATTTCGCTGAGTATATGACTCTAAAGGGTCAAATTACGTCTATTATTATTACAGTAATAAAAAAATTGAATATTCTATAATCTTTTGTCAGCAGCAAACTCATTTATATGTTGTAAATGCAGTATACGTCTATTTCGATGTTTTAATAGTATGTAATTTAGTCAGATAGTTGTATACCATCTTGAAGTCAAGACGTTCTCTGAATCCATATTCTATTGGAACTTGCGTATACAACTGTGGTGTAGCTTACCTACACAGATTATATGAATGTACAATTATGCTCCATCACAATAGGTTAATTTGTGCGATGACCCCTAATGCTTACATTTACGTCATTTTATCTATTACCACATCTCATTATTTTTATATTTTAACTTAATCAACTAAAATTGACCTTAGAATACTTTTGCAGTCATGTCTATTTTGTAGTTACACATCGCTGGTTTTTCAAACTTTTACCAATCGGAGCGATAATTATGATGGTTGATCCAGAGTAGCGAATCGAATCGAAGGTAGCAAAATATTTTTTTAACATACGAACATAAAACCGTTGGAATATAGAAATATAAATATAGAATGCAAGTTTCACATCAGGCAAAAAAACCCTTGCTTAAGTGGGGCGTCCGTTTGGGATTATGGGTTGTATAAATACACAGTCACGTATGGTCGGAATAGAAACGTTTTGAAATCTTATTGATTGATTGATTGTTGCTTGTTTAACGTCCAGTGATTATTATTTTATGCATATCAGGACGATAAACCAATAGCTATAATACAACAGGTCGGGTCTTCATGGTGGGACGACAGGGATGCAGGACGGGAAATTTGGATGCCACAGAAAAACAATAGTACCATGGATAGGGATGGAAATTTTGACGCGCATTAGGTCACGTTAACGTGCAGAGTTCGTGGCTCTCTCTGTTAATTCAATGAGTAAAGAAAACAAATTTGATTTTATATTTTCTTGTGAAGAATGTGATATTTTACTTATCATTGTTAACAATATAAGTGAAATGTATAATGAGAGAAACAATTATAATGTCAGTATATGATCTGTGTGTGATTGGTGGCTTAACTTATAATGTTATATATAATCATAATATTTGAATTGATAATTTTATAGAGGAGGCATGCTGTCAAAAATAGTATAATACTTAATATTAATAATCTTTATTTTTTTTTTTTCAATGCTACATGTTTGTATTGTTTAATGTCTATCGTTTTGTCATTAATATGCCTGTCTGTCTGTCTGTTTGTTTGTTTTGTTTTGGTTTTGTATTGGTTGTTTATTTAGTAACAATCCTATTGTTTGGATTTTAAACTAATAAAATTCTTATTCTTATTCTTATTATTCTCTGTTCTCGAGGCATCTTTAATGTCCTGATTCTGACAGGACGTGACTGCGAATTTATTCATCAGACATAGCCAAATGGATGCCCCATTTTGGCAAGGGTTTCGTGTCGGTCGGGAAAAGACCAAGGTGACCATATGTCTATACCACTGTCAATCTTTGGGTGCTCAGTGTGTAAGTCTTCGCTACGAATTCAAGGTGATGCACTGTTCCTATATGTTTTGCTTTTTTGTCAAGGGTGTGTGGGGTTTTGATTTTATGTTATGAGCTAATGCACCATATTCATCTTTTTCCACTTGATACTCTTCAATCAATACAGAATTACACACTATCGGTCATTTTATAGAATGTTTGTATAAATATCTCAGATACTAAGAAAATTTTAGAGTAAACATTTGAGGATACTTAAGATAGTATCATATCGACAGAAGACTTACAACCCTTTCAAATTAGAACTCCAAATAGTTAAACAACAATCCAGCCATCATATTACAATGTAGATCCGATGACGAATCTACTATAGATCTGAATAACATAAAAAAAATCATAAAGATCTCGGAAATTAATAATTTTATAAGTGTTGGGGGATTGCTCTCAATGTTAAATTAATTTGATGTATAGTAATGTTGGCCTCGAGTACTTCGACATAATCACCTTTTATTACTTTTTATTAGACTTAATCTAGTTCTTATTTCAGATATAAAAAAAAACACATGCACACCAACCGGTAAAGTTAAAGTTTCGTGCTCAAGATCAGCTTTAAACAGAATTAGGAAAAATTAGTCCGCGTTTAAAAATATCATTTTGTGATTTAAAAAATAACTATTTATCAATCTGAGATTGTACTAGATGGTCTTTTATTGACATTAGGGTTTGGTGTTTTTTTTTTTATTTCAATGCTCTTTAACTTCGTGATTGATTTCGCATTCCGACTGTTTTGATTTGAAAACGAGTAATTACTCTTATATATACGAAACGCGCGCCTCGCGTACTAAATCACAAGGCTGGTATCCTTGATGACATTTTTCTATTGTCACAAGTAAAATCGAGCTCAACATTACTTCTGTCAAAACAGTAACGGCCAATAACAAGAGGCACTTAAGAGTCAATTTTTACCTTTGCAATCGGTTATGTTATTTTCGTATATTTTGTATTGCTGATAAGTTTTCAGTGCACAGTTTGCACTTATATATTATAGTTGTAAAAAATCGTCATTTAAGGACAAAAAATCCTTAAGGAATCATCCAATAGTTTCAGCCATATTGACATTTTTATAGATCTTGTAATGCTTATCATTTTTGCCATAAACAGTTTCGACCTATCTAATATAACCATAGAATTAATAGGCAAAAATATGAAAATTAGCAAAAAATCCTCATTTTAAAGCGTTTACTTCTAAATGAGTCATTTTATAATTTTGGTGCAAACAGGAAGAAGGTAGATTTTGACATTTTGAGCTTTTTTGTTTCTGTCAGATATTCTCTATCGATTATAGATTTCGAGATATAAAACAATTAATGCATTTTACTCTTATGTTCTGTTTTGAGCTATTGCAGCCATGTTTGTTCATTGACCGGGGGAAAATATAAACTTTGTACTTTGTACCCTAAGAATCATTTACCTAAGTTTGGTTGAAAAATTAGCTCGGTAGTTTCAAAAAAAAGATCTTTGAAAAGGTGTACGACGACGGACACCAGGTGATGGCAATAGCTAACACGGCCTTATATGGGCCTGCATAGCTTAATTTTAGTTCAATATAAAGTAAGGAGATGTAGTATGATTGCTAATTTGTCAAGAATGCATCAGAGCCAAATTATTATGTGGATGTAAGAAACTATAGGTCACCGTACAGCCTTCAGCAATGAGTTAAACCCATACCGTATAGTAAGCCCCATTATGTTAAAGGTTCCAAAATGCGAAACAACCCAAATTGGAAAACCAATATGACAGAACAATTAAAGAAAAACAAACACAACAGACAACGACAACCGCAGAGTCCCGATCTGGGACAAGAGGTACACAAAGAACGCGACATATGGCCGTTATTTTGGAAATAAAGTAGAAAAGTGCAAACACCTAATGATTTGTAACACTATACTTAACATTCAATGGTATTTTCAAGCGTATGATAGTATTGATCAAAAGTTCATAAAAAAGTGATTGGCTTCAGTTATGTAACATCATGTCAGTCTGCATATGACCGTGATTACCCGGGAAATGCAAAATCATCACTTTTAAGTTAATCATACGATACATAACACAGAAAACTGTGTATTGACTTCTGAAATAAAATCATGGGGTATGCATGTGTCTTATAACGTTTCATAAGACGTTTAGAGATAAGATAAGAGGGATACCCGGGTCATATATAAAGAAGAATCCAGGTTGACCGAGTTTGTACAAATCCATCGCCATCATGAAACTTATACTCCTCGCTCTCTGCTGTTTGGTCGTCGTATATGCTCAGGAGCCACGTCCATGTGGTAAGTTAGCAAATTACTTTAAAAATATCGCTTTTTTGCGATATTATTTTTCAATTTAAATAATAACAAATAAAAAATGCATGCAAACTGTATCAAGGTGATTGTAAGCTCAGTTACATTAAAATGGGATAAATAAAAGGGTCGGCCGATCAAAATTTAACGCTATGAGTACAGGTTCAAATAACTGATTAAGCTATGACTTGGTATTTTGGTGAGCAGAGAGAGACGAAGAGTAGGATATATTAAAAATTTCGAATATGTATACAAAAAAAAAACACGTACCATTATGAAATTATCTTCATCGAACAGTTAATTGTCACTTCCTTCTCTTCTCGTTTAATACCAAATCCGGTATATTTTATCGACTTTAACTTTGACTGATAACTATGTAAAGTTTATAAATAGAGCGAATATCATGATAATCTATTATAAATAATAATAAATAATACTCATAATTACAACTTTATATTTTCCGATTATTTTTTTTTCTCTCTATGTTACTTTTTCTTTCCACTATTGCTATAATGAAAAAAAATGAAAATAACACTTTATAAATTATATGCGTCCGAAGTTATAACTATAATGCGTCCGAAGTTCTAACTATAATGCGTCCGAAGTTCTAACTATAATGCGTCCGAAGTTCTAACTATAATGCGTCCGAAGTTCTAACTATAATGTGTCCGAAGTTCTAACTATAATGTGTCCGAAGTTCTAACTATAATGTGTCCGAAGTTCTAACTATAATGCGTCCGAAGTTATAACTATAATGCGTCCGAAGTTCTAACTATAATGCGTCCGAAGTTCTAACTATAATGCGTCCGAAGTTCTAACTATAATGTGTCCGAAGTTCTAACTATAATGTGTCCGAAGTTCTAACTATAATGCGTGTGGTGTTAGAGAACGTTGAGCAACAACTATAAAGTTCTAACTATAATGCGTGTGATATTAGTGTTCGCTGAGCAACAACTATATTTTTTTCGAGCTAATCAGAAAAACTTAAATTAAACATTTCAGCGAAGTAATTTAAGCATAGATTCATAGTACACCATTCGAAAGGTTACTGAAAATTTGATTCTTCGTAAAAGAAAATACGTTTTATAAAAGTTCATTACTAAGTTGGGACCAAACCTTCTCAAAACCAACTGCGGATCTGACTGTAGTACTCCCGTTACCAGAAAACCGTTTATATACATATAATAAAGAAGTATGTATCTTGCAAACGAATAAATTTTGCTTAACATGTCAACATTTATCCACAATCATGTTATCAAATGTGAATTTCGATTTAACATTTTGAAAATATTCTTGCATTTTAGAATCTCCAAAGCAATGGGAAGGAAGGTTCCTTAGAGTAAGTAATAGTTTGTTCTTCTTTCAAATTCATTCATTTTTCTACAGAAGCATGGCACGGTAGGTAAAGCGAACGAACACCATTCGAAACATAATGAAAACATACTTTAAAAGAATGAGATTTTTTAAAATCTATTTACTGCATGGATATAGTTGATCATAGTTGACCACATAATATATTTATTTATATTTATTTACATAAACAAAAATATTTGAGACATAACTAAAAAAAATAATTTAGTATTTGGATGATACCGTGATAGATACTTTAATTTCTTGGCAAACACACCAAAAAAAATAACAGTAATAAACATTGTGTACTATTCGTGATGAAATTGATACACTGACCACTAGTACGTAAATATAAGCTAGAGCAAACACTAAAAACTACTCCCGCATTCAACAGTTTATGTCTATCATTACAGATTAAACAATTTGAATTGGGGTTTACAATTAGAATAAATGGGAACGATGCAAGAATTCTAATTTCTATAGACTGATCATTCATTAAAACTTAGTTCTGCACTAAAAGGTCGACGACAATATCTTCTGGAGCTTAAAATAGGCAACACTGTTTGGCTATGATGTGTTGATTAAGAGACTGAAAAAAGCAGAAAAAACGTGCGATTTAGTTATCCTTTTAGCTTTAGTGTTGTGTTTATCAAGAAGCTATTAACACTTCAATTTATATTTTTGCAGGCCGACAGAACAAAAATGTTCGGTGAATTAGCTAAACTGAGCTATGACGAAACTAACAGAAGAGCCAGAGAAATCGAGGAAGTTCAAATTGGTCAAGACAGGGAATATTATGATGTTCTTTATCTCCATAACATTGTAAGTGTTTATTTAGTTTTTTTTTCTTGTTCAGGTGAAAGGTCATAAATATGATTTACAACCAATACGATAAAAAGTTCATAATTCTATTACTAAGCACAAGTGTAATCAAAATTAAGAGTACACAAACTTGTGTTCAAAAAACGAAAACAACACGTTATAAATTTCATGCGTCCGAAGCGCTATTCTGGATATCAAAGTTGCACAAGGAAACGGGAATAGTTGATATCTAGGGTGTGCAATTAAATCGAAAAACAACCAGCTCGACTAAGAAAGTCAACAAGGATGAATGAAACCCTGTAAACCTCATGATCAAAATATATCGACTTCCGGTAAGACCCGGAGACAATCTGTTTACAGTTAGAAATGCTAGATGTTGAACAATAAGTACCACTTTATTACAAAATCGCTTGAATGTTGATTAACATTGGAACCTTATTTTGATTAAAAACTTCTATTGAACATTCCTAAGTTGGATCCTTAGTATTTGGCTATTATTTTTTAAATTCTTTTTGGTCATATAGCCCTTCACTTGTTTCGCTTCTTATACATTCTTGGCTTTGGGCGTTCCTGATGATGGTTAATCCAGAAAAGCGCTTTGGACGCATTTTTAAAGTGTTGTTTTCATTTTTTTCCACAATGTCTTCGATCTATCATCAAAACATAGAGTTAAAGTTATATTTTTATACATACAGGGAAAAGAATATAGATTGAACCTGAAAACAAGAAAGTGTAATGTAACAAACCTATTTAGACCATTCAGACCATATGGAGTACCCCCAAATGCCCAATTTGACGGATCTGCTACCATTGGCGCCGCTGGTGTTCCAGGAGAATCTATTGTTGTCGAGAACTGGTCTCTTACTGACGGAGACGACAAATTCTACGGAATGGTTTCATCTCCAGACTGTGTTCCAATTGAATATGCCTTCTACTCACAAGAGTCCAGCTTAATCACTACAACGTAAGTGCTTTTAAAAAATGATTTGCAGGATATTCAGATATATGTTGCTCTTTTATGAAATTGATAAAATATTCATTCAGTTGCATTCCTTAAAAAAAAAATCATACTTCCCACTGTTGTCCTTCTTTTTCCCAGACCCCAGCTTAATCACTACAACGTAAGTGCTTTTAAAAAATGATTTGCAGGATATTCAGATATATGTTGCTCTTTTATGAAATTGATAAAATATTCATTCAGTTGCATTCCTTAAAAAAAAAATCATACTTCCCACTGTTGTCCTTCTTTTTCCCAGACCCCCCAATTTTTACTCCCTTTTTGCCACATCCCCAATTTTTCACCTACTGTATCTTACATCCTCGCGTTTTCATCCCCTATATCCTACATCTCAGATACTAAACTTTAATATTTCTTTCATTAAAATTTAGAGAAGCAATGTTTTAATGGATATTAAAAAGTAAAATAACAAAAATATCGAACTCAAATGAAAATTATAAACGGAAAGTCCGTTATCAAATGGCAAAATCAAAAGCTCAAACACCAAACACATCAAACGAATGGAAAACAACTGTTATATTCCCAACTTGGTACAGACATTTCCTTGTGTAGAAAATGGTGGATTAAATCTGGTTTTTATCAAATGATATTAGATTTAAACTATACTTTATCTTGGAATACAAAGAAAACTATGTTTGTTGTATTCAACAGATAAATGGTTCGATATAACATTTGAGCGACTTGAAACGTTTTTGATTTCATAATCATATAAAACATAAATACTCCTCAGGACCTAATAAGAACAAAAGACAGGAGTGTGATTATATTTTCATGAGAGAATTTACTAAGTTTTCATAAATTTGATATCAAAATAAACATACATTTTGTTTTAAAATATTGTTATTTTACTTATAAATATACGCAACCAATTAATTTTACTCCTGCTTGTTTCTTTTTACAGATTCTTTGACATCAACGTTGGAATCACAGATCCAAATGTTTTTATTCCACCTTCAGAGTGCATGATGTTATAATTTGAAAATAAAACATTTAAAATATAATAAGTTAACCTCCATTGTTTTGTCAACAGTTTAAAACACATAAACTAATTAGTCGTTGATGGATTTTAGTATGGGCAAGACTACACAAAACTTCTGGAAATACATCTCAGCACTAATCATTTAATTTGCTGTAATCTAAAAACCATATATGTAATAACACAACATTTTTTTCAACTGAAAATATAGTCAGATATTACATCTTTATTCATGGGTTCATGGTATCAAGAGAAAAAGAAAACGTAAATAACGATCCACAGAAGAAACGTATTTACTTATAAGCCGTTATTCTTCAGTTTTCTTACCGAAGGCCAGTGGTTCTATCCGGGCACTCCGGATTCCTCCACTAATAAAAACTGCTCGCTGCGAAATAGCAAAATAGTGCTAAAATTGGCGTTAAACACCAATCAATAAATCAATTAATCTACAGTCCATCAAAACAAACTGCATGAATATTATTGGTTACTTGGAGGTATATTACTATATTATTATACCACATGTCGGTAGAAGTTTTGATATCTTAAGTATGTAATTGGTCTCAACACTTGATTGCTGTTTGCTTTATATGGCAGGAATATGGAATCGTACAATGTAGGATATATATGTATATAGCAGGAGACGCTTACCATGTCGATGACCCTTTAAGGATATACTTAAGTGAAATTAAAAAAATCTAGAATTTAAACTTGATATTATAAGTAAGAAGAGCATTAGTTAAGGACCAAAATAAGCTTAAAATATTGATAGGTTATGGAGCTCGTTTTCGAGATATTTTATTTTTTTTAAATGGCGGGAAAAGGATGACTCGGACTTTTACCTTATATTTGCATTGGTATTATTTGGGTCTCAAATCGAAAGAAAAGAAATCTAGAGTTTGCTTAAATTTTGGTAAATGACCTTTTATGAGCTATTGGGGTCTTATATGAAAAGAAAATGGGTGTTATGGGTCAAAATATTTTGCCCTGTATCGTAAGAAAAAAACCAAGGAGTCCGAACATCTGATAAAAATTCCTAAACCTGACCTAAGTACATCCTTAAGAGTAAATGCGATTCCATCAGTTTTTTGTTTGTCTGTTAACTTTATTCGTATCTGTTTAACTGATGTACGAGATTTGAACACCGGTAAACTACGGTAGCTTAAACCTATTACCATCAGAACATTTAATAAATTAAGAGGGTCCGAAGCGTTTTTCTGAATTTATCCATCATCAGGAAGAACATGCCAACCAAAAAAAAAAAAATAAAAAAATTGAACGCCAACGATGTATAAATTCGTGTATACTTGATGAGCTTTGAGATCAAAAGGAACATAAAATAATAGCCAAATACACATAAGGTAAAACTTTACCTGAGGGAGCTGTAACCTTAGTTTCTTACTATGACTGTCTATAAGTAGATGATCTTGTCTGATTTGATGTTTCCATACGTGGTCGTGTGCTACTCTGAGAGACTGGTATACTAGTATTACTTTCATATTCTGACGATTTCCTCAAATGTCATCATCTTTTAAAACCAAACAACCTTATCATATATATATATATATATATATATATATATATATATATATATATATATATATATGATACGGTTTCTGTTAAGTCATCGCCATTAACTACAATTTCATGGATCCTTATGTGCCCTTTTTTCATAGTTTTTGTTTCACATTTTCATATTATCTAAGCTTATATGATAGTTGAAATCTTTAAAAACAAAAGAAAAATGAACACACACAGAGCAGGAGTGAGGGACATATTGTGAACCGTAAAACCACCTGATATCAAATGTATTCACACATAAATAATCGTTTGGATGGTTAAACCTGCGCACGTTAAACCATCGTATTCATTAGCTGTAGCGGATTTGAGTGTTTGACCGAGTACTGTTACCTTGTTGTCAAGAGACGGATAAATATGTATTAGATCGAAATCGTAAATCAGAGAGCTACTGAACAATAATTTTAAAACGTTTAAATTGTTATCTGCTGACTCCAAATCTGGTTCATGGCGCCAATCGGCGTATGATATCGGAGATTTCACACCAACAAATGTTCCGGACTAACAGTTAATAGAAACTAAACATTAAGTTTAATATTTTGGTGAAACATATTTCCCTGTAATAGAGAGGCGACAGATAGCAAATGGATACCGAATTCAAACTCATAAGTCGAAAACAAACTGACAATGCCATGGCAAAATAACAAAAAACGGCAAAAAGACAAACACCAGTACACAAAAAATAACATAGAAACTAAAGTATGAGCAGCTGATTTCATGTGCTTTGGAAGGGTAAGCAGATCCATCTCTACGTGTGGCACCCATCGTGTTACTCGTTCAAGTACAAACCCGGCAATAAGTCTAATTCGATAGGTCACATTCGAGTAACATAGGACGGGGTTGTGGTTACAACAATTGCAACATATTCGTCGTCATCTGTGAAACAAATATTTCATAACTTGGGCCAACGTCTAAATTTATGCTATTACAACTGTTAAATCATATTTGAACAACAATTTCAAGAAATAGTTCTTTTAAAAATAATAAATGAGTGTTTTTTAAACTCATTTCATATAGGTTCTATTTCGAACTGAAGTTTTATTTCCCTTGAACAAATTTATATTTGTTATAATGAGATATCGAATGAATATAAACTGTTGCTTTGGTTCCATTACAGTAGGACAAAATTTGATTTTGATATTAAATTGCAAATGTATCATATTTTGTATTTTGAAGTTTATTTTTTAATATATTAATACATTACCGCTGAATTCATTTTATTTGACTTGTTTTTTTCGGAGTTGAAAATTTCTGTTATTTAAGTGTTATATGAATTGGGAGGCAGAAGGATATCTCTCTTTCTCTGAAGTTTTCTTACGCTATTTCCATACAAATCTTCTTTCTGAACAGGGAGACTCCGTATATATCTATAATCGATCTTAGCGCCAATCCATGAAGCATTTTAGGATGACAATTATATCACAATGTACTGCTTGAAATACATAGATTCTCCGTTTGGTGTAAGGGGAAATGCTACGGAACAGTTTTATCAATGTATATACACCCTCACTGTAGAGCTTTGGAAAGCTTTAAAAGTTTAAGAGGCATATTGATTTTGGACTGCTCTTATTAGTATTCAGTTGAACTCAAAGTCCATATCAAGACATTCAAATAGAATATTGTTAATGTTTAATTCGACTTTTAGATGATCGTTGAAAGTTTGCCAGATTTGAGTTCTCTGATGTCATGGATGTGTGTATTAAGAACGATAACGTAAAAAAACTTATGTCAGCGTTTTCATCGTCTGCAATATTGGTCGTAGCATTAATCTGTGAGATTGCACATAAAAAGATCGCTTATCAAACTACTGCATTTTTGCTATTAATGGTGCATGTAAAATATAAGTTACTGTAACTCTTGTTCCAGTCGAAAAACAAAGTAACTCTTTCGATCCTATTTCTTTGGTGTGGGAGTTTTTGAGCGTATACTTAAAATACTGTAGTAAAAAGATTTTCTAATATTATAGGAAATGTTATTCAAAAGATTCCCAGAAGATCGAATAATAACATAGATTATAATTGTTGCCTTGGTTGACGATTCTGTGGCAATAGTTCCCGAAGGAACTCGGGATCATCACCATTAATAATTCTATATAACAAAGATATTTACAACCCATATCTTTCTCAGTCACTTTCAAAATACCAGATCCGAGTCCCAGAAACAGCAATAGAACAACTACCACAAACTTCCCAACAGCAATCTAAGAGGGGTGTGACATGTAAAAGATGAAGATTGTCTAGGTATTTTTAACCGGATTTTTCTATTGGAAACCCAATAGGAAAATCTGGTAATTAATTTGGAGTGATACGACGGATGGTCGAACGGGCGGCCCCATCAACATTCCTTAAATTAAGAACCGTTTGACCAAGGCATATTGCACATGAAGATCTTTCGATATTGTTTAGTGAAAAGCACAGGTTTCAATCTCAATTTCTAATTTCAATCAATTGTTCTGGTAAAAAATGAATGAAAAATAGACAATGTTTCAGTTGATAAAGGCTTTTTATTTGATCTCTTACGACGTGTAAACTACTTGGTACAAAACTTCATAGTTGCGATTATTCGAAGAATAACGAATACATTATAATTTAATTTCTTATGGCCTGCTTGATATTCATACAGGGAGATGCAGCTGATATAAAGTCTATACTATATGTATTATGGGGACAAAATATGAACTTCCAAAAAACACCAGAGGTCATCTTTTTTTCTAAACTAATCAGAATCTGAAGTCTTGAAATCATTACATTTTATTTCAACCAATAATTTAAAGAAATATATGTACATTTGTCAAATAACATGTATAATCTTAAAATGTTCCACTTTTGAGAAATTGAATCAAAAAGAAAAAACACACAGAGCGCAATCGACAACAGTTCTAACTGTTTTTTATACACGTAAACATCTTTTATTTTACTCTTTTTTTTTACAATGAAATGACTAGAGATTCTGATTGTTTTAGATCTTACAGTCATTCCTCTTTAAATGTGTAAATGTTTCAAAAATTAAAAGATAAATGTCGTAAAATGAGTAGTTTTTAATCTCAACTTGAAGATTGTTCGGCAAAATTCAGAACGTTATGATGATAATAACTTGTTGTTGAAAGATACAATTTTGCCTGTGGACCAAAATATTTGAAGGCCACGGTTAGTACTTGGTTTTCAATCGGGTACTAGGGATGCTTGAGATAAGATAAAAAGTTCGCCAGGTCATATAAAAGTATATTGGGGAATGACCGACTTGTGACAGCCATCATCATGAAACTTTTCGTAGCTCTTTGTTGTTTTGTTCTTGCACAGGCCCAGATTCCAACGCCATGTGGTAAGTTTGATATGCATATATATGAAAATGACTAAATGTTTCTTTTATTTTTTATATTGAATCTATAGATAGGATTTATCGATTATAATATGGAAACAGTCTTTACGTCAGTTATAGATAATAATATGACAAGTAGAAAATGTGAGATATACTAAATTGTATATATATAAAGCCTTGCCTTTTGAACGTATCAAATTTGGTATTTTTGCTTTGATAAAGCAATATAGCTTTATACGATATTTCATGATTCTGTTCTAAAAACAAGATGGCTTTAAAATGGAAATCCATGCACCTATAATTAACATATGTAGAGCATGAAAAACAAAATTTATAAAATCCGTGGAACGCTTCAGAGATGCATAGCCGCCCCATCCCTCTAACGCTGGAAATATCTGAAATGAGTTGAATATATAACTTAAGACGCAATGCATTTGATTGTGAATACCCTAAAATGCGATAACCCTTTATATTTTTTTATGCAAAATGTGCTTCTTGTCTTACAACTATTTTTGAACCCCACTAATATATGTCTTTCGCTGTCTATGCTACGGACGCATAAACTTGAAAAGATAAGAAGAATACCAAAGCGTCTTTATCACAAGAAACCAACATGTGTAGATTCAATAGATTTTACGAGATCAAGACAACTACACAAAAAATGGAGACCATAACTTCTCGTATAACTGAAAAAAGGTTAACCATTTACCTTAATGTTAACACCTGTTAATACTGATGCAATGCAACCTCTCGTTGCATTAGGTGCTTCAAATGGGTAAATAACTCATCGAACAATTTTTGAAAACGTGTATCTTTATCACACCCTTTTGGATCTTTTTTTTTCATGCCAAAAAATTTGAATCAAAAATGCATAAAGAAAACCTCAATTTCCTTCAGTGTTAAAGCAAACAAATAATAATTAAAAATTTATGAACTATGAGTCATGAAGTACCAACGAAAAGGGAAAACATCACGATTTACTGCATGAAAACACTAGTGTTCTGTGAAATATATAGTGCCAATTCACACTTTTTATTTTACAGTCACACCTCATAAAGGTCACCTTATGAGCTAAAAGCTGTATTATCAGGTCACCCTCTCCTTGTCATGATGTAGCAATACCTATACATTTTGAACCTTATTCAAAGGTCATTTCACATTTTGGTAAATTTTCTTTGATCCCAAGGGCTAACTTTACATACAGGTTTTACTGAAGTGTCTCTTATCGAAAACAACTGTGAATGAAGTTTACAATTTTTCTTTTAACTACTCTAGATCTAGAACATTTTAAATTGGCTACTGTCGATGAAAACTCTATCCATAAGTGTGTTGTTAATATGTACTAACCTCAATATTTGAATTGTGTAATCATCAAATCTCATTTTGACCTTAAATAACATTGTTGACGGGATATGAAATCCGTCATCCCGAAGTAAATACTCAAGTAGAGAGGAGATCACATATTTTTATTTCGGATCAAAATAATAAAACTAATATAGATTGATAAATGTTTGTTCGTATATAAAGGAATACAGTAGATTATGGCTACAGTAGTTTACTGATGTTCAGATCTATTAAAACGATTGGGAAGAGACAACTCGAGATAACAAACAATAACTTACCTTATGGAATTGCATGAAAGGAGCGAGAGCGGGTACGTCGACAGGGTAAGCGTCTCCCGCTATGCAGGCACTGCCCAACATGCGAATTCACATTTAAACGGAAGTAGCAGGTCCCTTTCAAGTTGAATTCTTCTGTTTGTATTCTTTTTTGTTTCGGTCTCCCTATAATTTTGATCTCTGACAAAGGTCATTGTACGATCTGGAACTAAAGGATTGCACAATAGCAATTAAAAGAATAAAAACGATTAGAATAAACAAGAAAAAGAATACGTTTTACATAACATAAAATATGTTACATTATACACCTTCTGACAAAAATTATATATCTTAAATTCCAGAGTCACCAAAGCAATGGGAAGGCAACATTCTTCGCGTAAGTTATCAATTGATAATTAAGTACTTATAAACCATTCAATTGCTATTACAATTAAACCAAACGTTTAAAAAGCCTAGATATCTATGCGAATACAGTTGCTGAGTCAAGTCAGAAAATGAAACAAAGGCATCTTTGTGAGACACCATAGACGTGTGACTTAGATACCAATGAATTATATTGGTCTTTTTTTTTTATTAAAAGAAACACCATTTTATAAGATATCACAATTTGCGCAATACTAAAAATCATTTAGCATGTGATCGTGAAAGTCCTTTATCTCACGTTTTTATATTTTTATATAATTTTATAATATTTCAATCTTCTCTCTTTATAATCTTCATTAACAAAATGTGAATAAAAGTCAGTACATGAAAAACACATAATTATATAACAATCTGACAAAAGATAACCGATTCCGCCCCCCCCCCCTACCACCCCCCCCCCCCCCAAAAAAAAAAATACCACCAAAAACACTAGTACAAAAACAAACTATATACACAGTACAGTATCAAAGAATGCTTGTAGCTACTGAAAGAAAGCTCAGAAAACATAACCTGCTTAAATAAAATCATGTCGCCCTTCGACAAAATATCGACGTAGTATAAAACAACGTCATAAGCAGTATAGAAAGACATGCCCCTCCCCCACTCCCCCGTGTAATGTAAGAACATACCAACATAAACACCTATGCAGAAAAATCAAAGAAACATCTAAGTAAAATTGAGAATGGAAACGGGGAATGTGTCGAAGGGACAACAACCCGATCAAAGAACAGAAAACAGCCCAAGGCAACCAATGGGTCTTCAACTCAACGGGAAAATCTCGCACCCGGAGGCAGGCTTCAGCTGGCCCCTAAATAAAAATGTGTACTAGTTCAGAGGAAATGGACGTCACACTAAACTCCGAAACATGTAGATGAACCAAAAAATAAAAAAAAACATACAAGACTAACAAAGGCCAGAAATTCCTGACTTGGGACAGGCGCAAATATGCGGCGGCGTTAAACATGTTAAATGAGATCTCAACCCTCCCCTGTACCTCTAGCCAATGTAGAATAAACAAACACATAGCAATATGCACAGTAAAACTCAGTTTAAAGGAAGTCCGAGTCTGATGTTAAAATTTAGAAGAAACTAAGCAAAATAACAATGATAACATAAATTAACAAATGACTACTAGCAGTTCCTGACATGCCAGCTCCCGACCTCAATTAAACTGATTGAAAGGTTGTGTCTTCATCATATAAAAATCAAGCTCAATCTCTCCCGTTAGGGGTTTAGTATCATACCATCATAAAATATATGAGAAGAACATAACCCGTATCATGCCAACAACTGGTTAAAGAATAAATGTGTTTATTTCCGATGCAAAGACCCTATGAGTGAATCAATATTAATTCCAAAAAATGCCATCTTTAATGATCTGATAACAGTATCGTAACTATTTCTCTTCTAAATAAGTCTACATACAATAAATTGTGACAGGTTTTCTAGTGTTTTGTGTTTTAGATAAGTTCGTGTTTTACAGGTTGATAGAGGGACCCCAGTAAAGCCAGAGAATGAAAGACTTAAAGTTAGTTACGATGAAATCAACCAAAGAGTCCGAGAGATAACTGAGTACTCATTTACACCTAAACCAGGACAAGAAACGTATGAAGTTATTTATCTACACCAAACAGTAAGTAATACTTCTATTCATGAGATAAAAGTTTTTAACGAAAAAAATTTTGATGTCTTATGTTGGCATAAGTAAAGGATAAACATACAATTTATAAAAAAAGATCATTATTTATATAAACATATGATTAGAATAATTAATAACGCACGAAATAAATTATTTAAAAATAAATAAACCATACAATTCGATACAAATGAATAACCATACAATTAGATTCAAAAAATGAAAATAAAAAAAGAAATGCTATCTGGAGCTTTAATTTGAAAATACTCGTATTTGCGATCTTTCTACAGTGGGAAATCTAGTTACACAATATTACCTCCCCTATAAGCACTGAAAACTAAATCTTCTCAATGTTTGTCCCATTTTAGCAAGGACGCTATCAAGTATGAATCCACGGGAAAACGTTCTGGTAAATAGTACTGAAAAATAGAAATAAGTTGAAATAAAAACAAAACTTCCATTTGATGTTATCATTTCCCTCCTTAAGTAGAAAACGACGAGTACAGCAGGCTTTTGAAGCTAGATGTAAAATTAGTTTAAAACGTTGCTATGCGAATAAATTCCTGGAGTACCAACTCCAATTTTTTTTTCTACTGGCTGTATACCTCTCTGGAACATTGTTATTATCCGTATATATATATATATATATATATATATATATATATATACAGCTAGATCAGAGAATGTCGGGGAAAAATTTCCAAAGGAATCGATTGATATGCAGCAAAAATTGGCACTTTTGAAATTAAGTTACTAAGCAAATTCAAACGGACATTATTTCGATGTAAACATTGAATGTGAAAAGATCGAGAAAACTGCAAATACATGTACAAAAAAATCGAGACGACCTTTTCTTAAAATTGTATAAAAAAATAATAAAAAGATACCTACTTTATAAGAATAGTTATCTTTAATTTCTTAACCGGCACAGACAGATTTTTAAATTCTTATATTCACGAAAAGACAATATTTCTCTATTGAATGTACATGTGAGAAGAGCAGACCGGTGTGCTCGATAACTTAGGTGTGAAAAATAAGTATACTTTGGGAAATTGTAACATGCTAAGGACTTTGTGGAACGGTCCAAAAAATTGGTGACCCGAAAGATCATTAGAATTTTGTATGTACATGATTTTTTCCAATTTTTTTTATCAATATGCAGCAAAGATTGGCATTTTTTAAATTTCAGTTTCACAAGCTTCTACTGCAATTATCTCGATAAATACTGAACATAAAACATCGTGTATTTGCATGCATATTTCTAATAACACAGTTTAACAAATAATTTCTTTAAAATGTACAATAATTATTATTATTTAGAAATAATTTTTGATCAGTATCGTCACCGGCATTGTTTTATTATTGACTTTCTCGACTCTATCATAAGAAGAGTGAATTTTCTTTTGTTTTCGTTCACTAGGTTTCCCACTGTCTAATCATAATTAAAGTAGTAATATCAGCAATGCATTTATATGTTGCGATAATTCAAGGTTATAGCTATTTCAAAATCCAAAATTTCGTCTGAAATAATTCGTTGATTGATTTGAGCTGTGGAAAAATCAGCATTATCCATCTTTATAAAAGATAGATACTGATATATATATTTCCCATAATTGGATTGCAGAAAAAAGAGTATAGAATCAATCTTACAACAAGAAAATGTAATGTGTCCACCTTAACAAGACCTTTCATGCCTAATGGAGTTCCTCCAAATGCTACCTTCGAAGGATTTGCAACCGTAGGTGCTGCTGGTATCCCAGGCCAGAGTCTGAATGTACAAGACTGGAAATTTTCAGCAGGACAAGAAACGTTCTATGGCGTTGTTACAAGTCCTGACTGTGTTCCTGTTCAACATGCACATTACATGCCACCATCAACTTTCATCGTGTCATCGTAAGTAAGACGATTTAGAATTTGTCGCCCCGAGATTTGTTGCTGCTTTTTTTCAGATGGCGTTACAGAAATGCACACAGAGATAATTTATTAAGATGTAACGAATGATTAAGGTTTGGATGATACTTGCATTTTAAACAAACCTTTTGGCAATGTTATCTCGTTTTCCCCTATATTAAAGCTATTGAACTGGGTCTTCTTTTGGACATAACACTTTTTTCTTGATTAGAGTTTTGTCGATAGTCTTTTTTAGTGTATAAATACGTAACAAAATAGTGCAACATGATGTAACCGACTCAAATGCAGAGCTACAGAAAAAAAAAATGTTTGGTTATATTTTCTCATTGGCAGAAATAGGAAATAATTACCTTTTCTTCATTTAGTACAGTTTGCCAAATTTAAATCGAACCAATAAAAATTCACTGTGATTATTCCCAAATTAGCGTCTATCTTCATATGAATAAAAAACTATGTCATATCACAAAAAACATAAAAATTCCGTTCTCACGACAAGTGTTTCTGGTAAAAACTTATAGATATGTAATTAAAAAACAATAAATATAAATGATATTCGAATGTAAAATAAGGAGATGTAGTATGATTGCCAATGAGAACCATCAACCAGAGACCAAATGCCGTAGATGTTAGCGCCGAATGATAAGTATAGAAAATATCCACATTTAGATTATTTGGAAATGCATTTCATACATCACCTTATCTTTTACAGGTTCTTTGACATAAAAGCTGGAATAAGAGATGTTAATGTATTCACACCACCAACGGAGTGTAATCAAGAATAAATTTGGTATCCTTCGCCTCTCTTATAAATCTTACTTTTTTTCAATTCCGAAAACAATTATTCTTATGATGGCAGGTTTGTTTCGTGTAAAAATTTCTGAACTAATATCAAAATATGATATGCAGTTTTCAACGTTTTACGATTGTAATAATGCTTTACTTGGCCTAGTTGATTTATAACTAATAACCGACATTCATTAGTTGTGTAAATATAAACTATATAGGTACGTTTGAGGTTGGTAGGTTACCAAGTAGATTTATAGCTGCCTTCCATTAACTGTACAATCATAGTTTTGTTTAAAAGGGGTGTTTCATTAGTTTTTAGTGTCGCATTTTGTTCTATTTTATTGTTCAGTGTTTGTGTTGGTTTGATCGGTAACAGTTTCGGCTATTCCTTGTCGTCTTTGGAAACCATATTTTCATTCCATATTTTCACATTCGGACAAGGTTTAGGGTCATATAATTTTCTTGATCGATGGTTTATGAATTTGGTGATACAACATTCATTTGCAAATACGCTATTGTAAGATGCTTATATAAAAAAAGAAGATGTGGTATGATTGCGACTTAGCTAAGACTTTTTATTGTCTTTTATAAATTCATATTCACATAAATCATAAGAAGTATAACACAAAACAGGTTTTAACAAAACAATCTGTTAAAACATGTTTAAATATAGATATAAGCCTTTCAAATCAAAAAGAAAAAAAGAAAAAAAGAAGAAGAATGACCTACAAGAAAGATGAGTATACAAAGATAAAAACCAATAGCTACAAATTATTGCGTTCACAATCTTTCTGCGTTTCGAAGGCACCAAATTTATATGGTAGTATTTTTTTCTTTTGTAACACTGTGTTGATACCACTTTTAGTGGACTGCTATTCCTCCAGAGTATCACCAGACCAGTAGCCGGCGCTTCGGTACTGACATGGTTAACAACTTTTTAATTCTTCGTTGAATTTAGAAAATTTCATGAAACCAAACTCAATCAGGCAAAGTTGACGTCAGGTGGATTTGGCTATTCTTTTAAGGTTCCCTTTGGTCATGTAGTTCATCACGTGTTTTAGTTTGAGCGAATCCAAATAAGCGCGCCGAAATCACCAAGTTTATAAATAAAGTGTAATTTTGATTTGACAGCTTAAAAAAGTCTGTTTGTTCCTTATTAAGCTTAATCATTTGTATATGCCTGAGCGATTTAAGTCGAAATACCATGCAGTAAACTGAATATTTATTAACTATCGAACTCCTAGAATTGTTAACAACTTATCATGATACTAAAACTAGTTTAGTAGACCTAAAAATATCGATGTTTAATCTTTGCTCCATCCAAAAAAGTTACATTTCAAAAAGTAACAGCTCTAAGAAAGAAATGTCATTCTAACATTGAAAGGTATTTCTATGCCAAAACGACCGGTCTTTGCTTTCACCTGAAAATGCTGCATGATTAGCGGAGAAGCCTCAAATGACATTTTTTGGTTTCCCCTCAACCCCCAACGCTCAAGTCCAACACGCTGTACCTCAAGACCACTAAGGCAAATCAGAGGAAATAGGGCGATTAAAACATATAAACACTTCACAAAGTGTACAAAGTGACCAGATTATATCAATGGATTTTAAAGTTAAATGGCCGATAGTAAGCTGATCAGTAAAAAAAAACAAAACAACCAAAATTGGGAAAATAAAAATAAACCTTGATAGCCGTTGAAAAACTATGAATATTAGGATGTCACATATCCTGCTTGATTCATACAGGGAGATGAAGCTTAAATAAAGTCTCTAAGTATGTACATGAATGTAAATTTTATTGCTGAACGAAAATACGAACTCTTAAAAAAAACACCAAAGTTCAATTTTACTTGAACTAATTAGAATATGAAGTCTTGAAATAATTACATATTTTCACCCACTAAACGAAATGTGTTTACATTTATCAAAGGACATGCAAGATTAGTAACTGAACCAAAGGACAAAAAGAGAAAGAAAAGAAAAACACGCAATCAACTACAGCCCTTACAGATTTTCATAAACGCAACCATCTTGTATTTTACTTTTATTTTTTTAATAAAGTGACTATCGATCATATTTATTTTAACATCTTTCAATCTTTTCCATTAAAATGTTCAGAAAAAATAAATATTTATATAATTTGATAAATATTGTAAAATGCGTAGTTTTTAATCTCATTTTGAAAAGATTATTTGGCAAAATTCAAAACATTATGATAAACATGACTTGTTGTTCAAAATTAAAATTTGGCATGTGGACCAAAATATTTGAAGGCCATTGTCCGTACTTGGTTTTCAATCGAGTACTAGTGATGTTTGAGATCCGACATATTAAAAGTATATCGGGGAATGACCGACTTGTGACAGCCATCATCATGAAACTTTTCGTAGCTCTTTGTTGTTTTGTTCTTGCACAGGCTCAAATTCCAACTCGATGTGGTAAGTTTGATATGCATATTTTTGAAAACTAACAAATGTTTCTTTCATTCTTGATATTGAATCTCTCGATGTGGTTTATCGAGCAGAATATGGAAAATTAGTCTGTTATAGATGTTTAAGCGACTTTCTTTTTTAAGAACAATATGACGAGGTGAAAACAGTGTGATGTATTAAAAAATGTATTTATAAAGCTTTGTCTTTTGGACAAAGCAAATTTTGCATTTTTGCTTTGATAAAGTAATCTGGCTCTATACGGCTGTTTTTGGAGACAAAGTGACTAAAAATAGAAAACCATCATACTTATGATTAATATATCGAGAGCATAAAAAACAAAATAGATAAAATCCTCGGAACGCTAAAGAGATGCGTAGATGCCCATACCCTCTAACGCTGGAAACAATGGCACCTAAGGTGCTTCGAAAGGGTAAATAATTCATTGCTCAATTTTTGAAAACATGAAGTTGTATGCATTTTTTTTTCTTTTAAATGCCAACAGATGTGAAGCCAAAAAGCATTTCAAATATTACGTTATAAAATGAAACTCAATCTTTCCCTGTGTGACAGCAAACAAAACAGTTACCAAACAAAAGAGAGGCGAAAGATACCACAGGACATTCACACTCATAAGTCGAAATTAAACTGACAACGCCATGGCACAAAATGGTGATGAGGGGACAAAATGTCCACCAGCAGAGACATCGACCAAGTTGTTGTAAAAGAGAGGCGAAAATACCGAAGGGACTTTCAAACTCATAAGTCGAAAATAAACTGAAAACGCCATGGCTAAAAAAGAAAAAAACCAAAAGACAAACAACAGTACACAAAACACAACATAGAAAACTAAAGACTAAGCTACACGAACCACACCAAAAACCGAGAGTAATCTCTGGTGCTTCGGAAGGGTTAGCAGATCATGAAACAGGAAAAAAATCATCATTTACTACATATTAACACCAGTGTTATGTCTAATATATAGAACTATTAAGTTAAGATATTGTCTATCATCGAGAACAATTGTGAACGATGTTTCATATTCTGAAAACTTAGTGGCCAACATAGATACACGTATCTTGTCTTAGGGAGGGATAAATCGTACTTTGTAAAAAATCACTCTGATTTAAACAAAAAATTCCCTGAAACCGACATTATCAAGATGCTTGATTTATTGATTGACAAGGTATGTGTTACGTTTCGGGGATGTGCTTTTCAACAAACAATCAGCATTCGCATGGGAACCAACTGTGCTCCTCTTCTTCCTGACTTGCTCCTTTATTCACATAAGGCTGACTTCATACAGGAACTTCTTAGGAAGAATGAAAGAAGTTAGTAGTATCCTTTAACTTCACTTTCCGCTATATAGATGATGTTCTCTCACTAAATAATTCGAAATTGGGTGACCTATGTTGAACGCATCTATCCCATCGAATTTGAGATAAAGAATACAACAGATACAGTTAAGTTTGCCTCATATCTTGACTTACATCTAGAAATTGATAATGAAGGTCGGTTGAAAACAAAGCTTTAGGACAAAACCAATGATTTCAGCTTTCCAATTGTGAACTTTCCATATCTATGTAGCAGCATTCCGGCAACGCCTGCATACGGAGTATATATCTCCCAGTTGATACAATATTCCGGGGTTTGTATTTCCTATCATGACTTTCTTGATAGAGGGTTGCTGCTCAGAAGGAAGCTTTTAAACCAAGAGTTCCAAGAGGTGAAGTTGAAATCATCCTTTTGTAAATTTTACGGACGCCACCACGAGTTGGTTGACCGTTATGAAATATCCGTTTCACAATTCCGTCCCCTTTTCCCCGAATGTGACCTTTCGAATTAGAATTATCACTGGGTTTGTAATAACATAAGCAACACAATGTACAATATGGAGCAGGATCTGCTTACCCTTCTGGAGCACCTGAGATCACCCTCATTTTTGGTGGGGTTCATGTTGCTCAGTTTTTAGTTTTCTATGTTGTGTTTTGTGTACCGTTGTTTGTCTGTTAGTTTTCTTTTCTTTTTTAGCCATGGCGTTGTCAGTTTATTTTCGACTTATGAGTTTGAATGTCCCTTTGGTATCTTTCGCCTCTCTTTTTACCTTTTTGTGCTAGATTAAGGGCATTTTAAATAAGCCGCTGTCAATGCAAAATGTTTGCATAAGTGTGTTATCATCATCTACGAGTTACTATTTACAAAAGCTCATTTTCACCTTAATTACCATTATTGACGGGTTTGGAGTCTGGAATTCGAAGAAATTAGATAAGTTTAGAAGAGATTAGAATTTTTGATTTCTTTTACAAATCACAATACTATTACAGCTTTTAAAATAAAATTGAAAATGGAAATGGGGAATGTGTCAAAGAGACAACAACCCGACCATAGAACAGACAACAGCAGAAGGTCACCAACAGGTCTTCAATGCAGCGAGAAATTTAAAATGTTTGTTTTAAGCTATGTGATGAAGTTGAACGACAGCTGCATCTCCCATTGAGCAATGACTTTGACGACTTCACTTTTTCTGTGTTAATGTCCTTTTCAGTTTTGATATTCAAAATGTTTCATGTATTTGGCTCC